TCTTACAGTGTTTTTGTTGGTTTTGCATTTCCTTGCTCCCCATAAGATAAATGAATTCTAGTTAGCTCTAAAATGATTTTAAGGTCATTCCACTGGATCTTTCATGCTCTCAGTTAATTCTAAAGCAACCTCTTTGAATAGGAAGAATCCTCTATTCTTTTCTCCTTCTAACTATCTAGACCACAGTTTTCTGAATTCTAAATAAATGTCAGGGATTTGTCTGATTCTGTTATCATGGTCCTATGGTCCAATGACAAATAACACAGAAGAAAAAGTAATTAATATTTTTGGAGGAGACAGCATAAGAATAGTACTCTAAAAGAAATTCCTTGGGGATTTCCCTGGCGGTCCAATGGTTGGGACTCAGGGGTTACACTGCCTTGGCCCGGGTTGAATCCCTGGTTAGGGAACTAAGACCCCGCAAGTCGCGACCCAGCCAATAAATAAATAAATAAGTAAAATTCCTTGTTTTTAAGAATGAACCCGGCCAAAAAATAAATAAAATGACTCGTTTTTAAGAAAGAACCCAGGAAAGAAGGAAGGAAGGGAGGAAGGAAGAAAATTCCTTGTTTTAAAGAATGAACCCAGCCAATCAATCAATCAATAAAAGAAATTCCTTGTTTTTAAGAATGAACCTGAGGCAAACTTGAGGCCTGAGGCTGCAGAAGAAAGATGCTTCATCCACGAAATTAAAGTTCAGTCCATATATTCTTATGGTAAATACTCTGTAATGTGCTGAGGTCATTTTGTACCACTTATTTGCACCTGGTGATGAGGCAGATATATATGGCACAGCTTCCAAAACACACTCTGGTGGTAGGGTGTCAGGCAAGGGGAGGAGGGAGGCGGGGAGGATAAAAAAAAAAAAACCAGAAGGAGCTCATGGAAAATGGAGAACTTGGGGATCTAGGAAGCCTATGCCTCTGCCTAGGAGCAATAACCAATCATATTTTCTATCAGTCATTCTTGTCAGTAAAAATGATATTCCACAGGCAAAAAGCAACTAATTCAATACACAACTCAAGCAATCAAACAACTGCTTTTCTAGAAGACAACCATCATAGTTTGGTATATAGCAAAGATGCTTTATGTGTATTTGCCATTTTATCACAATGAATATTGAAAAAATGTATTTAAGAAATGAGAATTAATAAAATCAATAATTTGCTGCCACTGCCTTGATTTGCACTAAATTGCTAGTGGTTTTACTCATCGCATCTATGCACCCTCAATGCAAATCTCAACATAGTACAAAAGGCAAATATTATATCATCTTGGTATTATAAAAATAGTTTTGCCTCTGCAGATCCCCTCAAGGGTCTCAGGGACTCCTAATGGACTGCAGACCACACTTGGAGAATCACTGCACTATAGAAAATCCCCCAAAAAGATTCTGTGGAAGTCTATTTAATGACATGGAAAAACATGTTCATAATATATTCAAGTGAAATATAAGTAACAAATAATATGTTTGTGCTTAACTCTTCTAACTGTACTTCTAGAAACAATCTGAAATACAGAAAAATGACAAAACCACCAATAGGAAGTGATTATATAAATTATAGTATATTCACCAGATAGCATAGTAGATAGCTATAAAAAACAACTAGAGGGCTTCCCTGTTGGCGCAGTGGTTGAGAGTCCACCTGCCGATGCAGGGGACACGGGTTCGTGCCCTGGTCCGGGAAGATCCCACATGCCGCGGAACGGCTGGGCCCGTGAGCCATGGCCGCTGAGCCTACGCGTCTGGAGCCTGTGCTCTGCAACGGGAGAGGCCACGGCGGTGAGGGGCCCGCATACCACAAAAAAAAAAAAACAACTAGACCAATATATATACTGACATGCAAAGATCTTCATGATAAATAGAAAAAGTTTGTTGCAGAAAATTAAATACAGCATGATCTCATTTGTGCAAAAAAAAAAAAAAAAGATTTATGTCAAAGAGTGTTCTGCCTGTGTTTTCTTCTAGGAGTTTCACGGATCCTGGTCTTACAATTAGATCTTTACTCTATTTTCAGTTTATTTTTATGTATGCTGTGAGAAAATGTTTTAATTTCACTCTTTTACATGTAGCTGTCCAGTTTTCCCAGCACTACTTATTGAAGAGACTATATTTTCCTCATCGTATATTCTTGCCTCCTTTGTTGTAGAGTAATTGGCCATAGAGCATGGGTTTATTTCTGGGCTCTCTATTCTGTTCCATTGATCTATGTGTCTGTTTTTGTGCCAGTACAGCACTGTTTTGATGACTGTAGCTTTGTAGTATAGTCTGAAGTCAGGGAGTATGATACCTCCAACTTTGTTCTTTTTTCTCAGGATTGCTTTGGTTATTCAGAATCTTTTGTGGTTCCATGTAAATTTTAGGATTATTTGTCCTAGTTCTGAGAAAAATGTCATGGGTATTTTGATAGGGATTGCATTAAATCTGTAGATTGCTTTGGGTAGTATGGACATTTTAACATTCTAAACCAGGAACATGAGATATCTTTCCATTATTAGTAACATCTTCAATTTCCTTCATCAATGTTTTCTAGGTTTCAGAGTATAGGTCTTTCACCTCCTTGGTTAAGTTTATTCCTAGTTATTTTATTCTGGGCAACTTTAAAACTTTTGTTTTCTTACTTTCTCTTTCTGACAGCTCATTATTAGTGTATAGAAAAGCAGCAGATTTCTATATATTAATCTTGTATCCGGCAACTTTACTGAATTCATTTATCAGTTTCAACAGTTTTTTGGTGGAGGCTTTGGCATTTTCTATATATAAATATCATGTCATCTGCAGAGAGTGACACTGGAATATTACTCAGCCATAAAAAAGAATGATATTCTGCCATTTGCAACAATATGGACGGACCTGGAGGGTAATATGCTCAGTGAAATAAGACACAAAGAGAAAGACAAACGTTGTATGTTATCACTTATATGTAGAAAAAACAACAATAAAAAAGAATGAATATAAAAAACAGAAACAGACTCACACATATACAGAAGAAGCTAGTGGTTACCAGAGAGAAGATAATGGGGAGGGGAGATATGGGGGTAGGGAATTAAAAGGTACAAACTACTGTATATAAAATAAATAAGCTACAAGAACATATTGTATATATGTTCTATATATAATATTGTATATATAATATTGTATATATGTATATTGTTCTATATATTGTTCTATATGTTGTATATATATATATATATTGTTCTATATATTGTATATATGTATATTGTTCTATATATATACGTATATTGTTCTATATATAATATTGTATATATGTTCTATATAATTCCTCTGGCAGTTGCCAGTTTAACTAAAAAGACCCTTCTTTTTAGTTTTTAGTTTAAAAGTTTTTAGTTAAACTAAAAAGACCCTTCTTTTTAGTTTTTAGTTTTGGCCGTTGATTTCTTGCTGGCATCAGGTAAGGTCTCATTTCTTTTGGCAAACCACCCAGGTAATTTTCTCTTTGAGGTTTCAGACAAAGTCAACGAATATAGCCAATATGTTATAATTTCAAATGGAGTATAATCTACAAAAATATTGAATCACTATGTTGTACACCTGAAATGATTATAGTATTTTAAATCAACTATACTTCAATATAAAAATTAAAATAAAAAAAAAACAAGAATGTATGTGTAGCTACACACGCAGAGGCACATAAATGCAAAAGAAATGACTAGAGAATGATACGTCACATATTCAATAGGAGTTACCTTCTGGAAAGGGGCTGGTAATGGGATGTGGGGAAATGGGAATATGGGGGACTTTAATGTTTTAAGTATAGCTTGAATGCTTTACAAAGAATATTCATTCACGTATTATTCTTGTAACAAACTAAGAAAAGAAGTAAATATTAAAAGGCTTGGCAGGGGACTTCCCTGACGGTCCAGTGGTTAAGACTCCACACTTCCACTGCAGGGGGCATGGGTTTGATCCCTGGTCAGGGAACTAAGATCCTCCATGCTGCACGGTGTGGCCAAAATCAATCAATCAATAAATAAAAGACTTGGCAGGATACATGAAAGGGGTTAACTGATTACCTACCAGTGGAACTTTAGTGATTTTTTTTTTTCACTTTTCTGGATTTTCTAATTCTTCTACGGCAAACATATATTTCTTCTTTATTAATGACAGTTATTTTTATTTATAGAAAAGTCAATTAAGTGCCATATGGTGAACTGCTTAAAGTTATATCAACTATGATTTACCCAATTCAGTGTCAGTATGTGTTTTGTATATTTCAGTTACATGTGCTACATAAAGAGGTATTAGAATCAAATTCTGACATCATCAAAAATTAAAGGTGCTCAAGGTAATTCAGTATATGAAAGTTTAAAATACATATCTTTATAATATTCAGTACTAAGGACTTTTTATTATTATTTGAAAAATAATAGAAATCGTATATAACATACAAAGTGCATAGTTGTCTAGTGTAATTGGTCTCCTTTGTTATATTCTTTCCTCTACACAGAACCCGAAATGTTTCATTTTCACTGGTCTGGTCCACTAATATCATTTTAAAATGTGTATAAGAATTTCTTCTAACAATAGAAAACACAATTTGTAAAATAACTATGTGTTCTTCATTTATAAGACAGAATTTTGGTAATATAGGAATATTACATATCACACACACAATCACTTACAACTGATAATCTGTTATCTATATTAAATCACCGCACATTACATATTCCAAACATACTGCTGAAGTAAGTAAAGAGATTAGAAGACAGGGCAGTAACATGATTTCTTAAAGCAATCTCATAGGAAACTAAGATTCTGTTCTATGAGGTACTCACAAAGGCTCTCAGAAGACTCAATTTTATGTGAATTGCAAAAGGCTGTTTTAAGACACCAGCTGTTCAATAAATAGGTGAGTTTTACTTTGAGATTAGAATAATTTTTAAACAAAAATATTACTCCCCACTGTTTTCAGAAATGAAATACAGCTTCCCTCTTATAACACAGCAAGACACACATAATTCCTCTGGCAGTTGCCAGTTTAATTAAAAAGACCCTTCTTTTTAGTTTTGGCCGTTGATTTCTCGCTGGCATCAGGTAAGGTCTCATTTCTTTTGGCAAACCACCCAGGTAATTTTCTCTTTGAGGTTTCAGACGAAGTCTATAGGAAAGAAACAGAAAA